AGGTTTGGGCTTAACTGTCGTAAATAGAGGATTGTGTAAGGCTTTGATGCTGTATGGGTGGATTGTGTGTGTGTATGTGTATCAGAGCGCTCGTGTGGTAAGAGAACAGTGCAGGTGCTTCCTGTTGTAGAAACGAGAAACATACTGCGGCAGGGTCACATAGAAAGAGTGTAAAAATGTGTGCGTGTATTGATTTTGTGTTGTGCAGACCACAGTACTCTTAACATTAGCCCAATATGGATCAAGGCCTACTGGTGTATAGTCTCTTTTGAACGCATATTACAGTTTAAACCTACCTATATCTTTGAAAGAATAGATAAACCAAACTGACAACTCTGTTAATGTTAATTCTATTACAAAAAGTGATACATAAAATAACTTAACAATTTTTGGTTGTCCGTTCTACTGTCTATAAGTGTTTTTTTACAAGCACATTAACTTGTACTACCAACCTTAACCCCAAATGTCAATTAGTAACACTTTATAGATACTCTAAGAAAAGTGAGGTGACATGTCAATGCAAACTTGCAGGGTTTATAGAAATAAAGTGTAGCCTGAAAATATTTTGTCAAATGATTTTTGCCTGCACAGGTAATGTCACTAAGGTTCAAAACTACACTGGACCTCACTGACTCACCATATAGACACAGCTAATTTTTTTTTCCAAAAAATCTCATGTTTTACAAAATAAGTAAAGAATAAAATAGTATTTGGTCACACTTTATTTTGATGGTCTGTTTGTTGAACTGAAGTTACATTCCATCTACGCCAACTAATTCTCATTAGATTATAAGTAGACTGTTAGGTTGGGTTTGGGGTAAGGGTTAGTGTAAGCTGACATGTACTTGCAAAGTTTCTTACAGTCAGTTAAATGTCTGTTGAAGGAGCAGTATCAGCAGATTTTAAGCAGACAATCTACTAATACTGAAATGGACCATCAAAATGAAGTAGTATTATTTGAAAGAAAAGTAATATATTAACAAAAAGCCTTGTTATGTGTGTTAACTCTTGATATTGAAGTATTTTAACATGTGTATTTGCAGCTCTGACTTTCTTGTTAGTTTCAATTGCCTATGTATTTATAATATAGAATAAATAACAAATTTTGATTTGCTAGTTTTCACTTGCACGTTTGTTTATTTAAAAGCAGCTGATGCAATAATGTTTCAATAAAAGATTGATTAAATGGTGGAACTGGAGTTAATCTCCACGTTTCACAGCAACAGCTGACTAAACTATTTTGTTTATGTAGATTTCTAACATTAGTACAAAATATTTCAGTCAGCACATAACCTTGATTTACAAAACCTTTAAAAATTTGGACCGTATTTATACATTTTTCAATACAACTGAAATGATTTTCATGGAGCCATGAAGTATAACGCGGTTTCAGCGAGTTCAGAGAAAGACGTTCTCCTGCTGGGATGTGGTTTCTGGGTCTGAACTCAGTTCTCCAAAAACTTCAGTTCATCTCCATAAACCACATAACATGTACTCCTTTTGTCTGTCTTTCTGCTGCTCTTTCTTCTGTTCTCTACCAAATCTTCCTTTCATGTAGTTGCGATTAATAGAGCACTTCTTTGTTTTTACAGCTTGTGTTCATTAAAATCATATATATATATATATATAGTTAAAGTCAGAACCATGTTAAGGTCAATATTATTAGCCCCTTTAAGCTAAATTTATACAGAACAAACTATCTTAACACAATAACTTGCCTAATTACCCTAACCTGCCTAGTTACCCTAATTAAGGCTTTAAATGTCACTTTAAGCTGTATAGACGTGTCTTGAAAAATATCTAGTCAAGTTTTATGTACTGTCATCATGGCAAAGATAAAATAAATCAGTTATTAGAGATGAGTTATTAAAAATATTGTCTAGAAATGTGTTGAAAAAAATCTTCTCTCCTTTAAACAGAAATTGTAATAATTGTAATAATAATTGCTAATAATTCTGATACACACACACACACACACACACACACAGTGATCTGCATATATAAGTACACCCCATACAAATCTCTCTTTTAAAGTCATATTTTTAAAAGGAGCTATACAATATTATATTTGTGCATGTACATTAGATTATTCAGTACTGAAGCCAAATCTGAAGCTTATCTAGCAAAATAACTTATGATACCGGTCCAAAAACCAGTACACATAAATGTATGTTATAGAAGAATACTACAAATTTAAAAAAGAAGATCAAGAGAACCAGATCAATTGAAAAATTTAGTTGAAATGTTGTAGGTTGTAATTTTTTGCAATATTTTGCTTGAATTTAATTGTATTATCTTTCAATTTCTAAATATGTTTGGTGACTAAAATAATAATTTAATAAATAAGTCTGTTTAATAGATCTGCTTTGTTTAAATGCACCAAAACACATTGCCTGTATTCACTGAGATATGGATAAAAATATTCATTTTTAAAATGAGGTGCACTCTATGCTGAGCCCAGTACTTGTTTTACACAAAACAATGTCCAAACCAACACTAC